GAACTAACGCAAAAAAATATGAATTTCCATCTGCGAATCGCTGCTGAATCGCAACAAAATCGACCCATTTCTGAAGCGGATTGTGAATGGCGATGAGAACTGGGTCATTTACGACAACATGGAGCGCAAGCAATCGTGGTCAAAGCTCCGGGAATCGGCCCAGACGGTGATCAAGTCCGGATTGACGGCCAGGAAGGTTTTGGTGTGTGTTTGGTGGGATTGGCAAGGAATTGCTCCCCTATGGCCAAATGTTTGAAAGCAGCACTCATCCAGGAGAGGCCATCTTTGATCAACAGATGCCGGGTTCCATTAGGACAACGCCGAGCCACACACGTCTTTGGTGACGTGCCAGAAGCTCCAGGAGCTCGGATGAAAGGTCCTATTGCAAAAAGTGATTACCATCTTTTCCTGTCCACGGCGAACGCGCTTAACGGTGAGAATTTGGCCTTAAGAGAAGCCTATGAAACATGAATTTAAGGACTTTGTAATCTACTTTACATTATTTATTATTTTTGCTACAGAGATCTTTCGGACACTCAATTTTTGTAAAAAAAACATTTCATACATCTTTTCTTTGCAAGATCACACGACACACTCTATTTCTTATAAATTTAAAATTGAAATTGTGATCCTCATCTTTTTCCACCCTTTTAATGGAGTTTATTGATTTTTGAATCTAAAAACAATTAGAAAAACTTAACCCTAACACACTTACTGATCTTGCTTATAAATCTTAAAACTAAATTAAAAACGTGTTGGCTGGAGTTAACGCAGATCCCCTTTCAAACTATGGTGCTCTCAATAGTAGACAGGAACATATTTTCGCTGCAGCCAGGAATTTCTGGATGAGTCGTACAGAGCGTTTGCTAATGGGTTGCGATGATTTTTCAGTTTTGTGAGGTTCTTAAAACTTTCAGTACTTTCTGAGTATTAGTTGCATAGGTCATAACCCACAGTTGAATAGCATACATTTAAATTGGCTCTGTAATAGCATTGTAAATTAGTACTTCTAGTTTTAGTTACTTGTAACCTCATATATAATATTTTGGCATCTACGAGTATGTATGTGTATATTCTAAATGAACCTTCTATCTAAGTCTGTGCAGAGATATGTTACATTGCTTGCTTGCGGAATCATTGAATCTAACAGCAGGACATATTTCTAAGCATAATGTAAACGTATTGTGTTCACACTTTAGCTCATTGACTTTGATTCTTCAGTTGCCGACCATTTTTCGATGAGAAATGATTTAACTTCACTCGATTTCAATGCTATTCTAGGGCATAAAATGGTTGTGCCATCCGCAAAAGTTGATGTTTGAACTTACTGGTTTACAAGGATGTCTGCAGTGTTTATAATGTATAACATAGGTCTTAGAACGATTTTTTAAGGAACATGAGCTTTAACTGGAAACCCCTCAGTGATATATTCCAATTGTTTTACGGTAAACCACTTGTTAAACAGATATGACTCAAGTATATTATAGAATTGTATAGGCAAAGTTTCATAAATTTTGTATAACAGCGCTTTATATCTAGTTCTGCTGAATACTTGTGCAACGTCAAGAAATATTGCACTGTACCACCACTTGAACTCGAATGCCTACCAAATTTCATTAGTGATTTGATTTGCTTGTTCTAAAGTGATATGGAAACTGAATTGGCATCACTTTTTTTTTAAGAAAACAAAGGAGATATCTAGATAGCAGAATTCTCTCAAATAATTTGAAAATACAAGTCAGGGCTTATTGTAGTAGGCATTTTTTTCGTTACTACGCTTCCAGTCACTATTTGTCTTTCTGCTTGGTGTGTTCAAATGGAGGATTAAAGTTCTTAGATATGATAGAATTTGGCTTGAACGATTTCAAATTATGGTTTTCTTCTTGTTTCAAGGTACGTTTCGGATTTTTCTCTGCTGATTTTAACTGAAACTTTACCTGCCATTCTAACCACAGTCGACGTCTTGTTTATTACTAATCCTTCTATTTCAGTATTAGCTGTGGGTTTTAGGCTCATAGTAATCATGTTCCTCCTTGGAGTTGTTAACGTTGCCGCAAAAGCGATTATTAAACTCATTCATCTTTTTATCAATATCATTTTTACTGTTCAAAATTGTGCTGCTGTCAATGTGAGTGCCAATATTTTTTTTTACTTAAGCCAGTTTGGCCTTGATTCTTGAGCAGCAAAAGTCGGTTGCTCGTAAATTTTTATTAAAACTGATTACAGGATTCAAGGACGAGTCGGCAAGAGTCCAGGACTAACGATATGTGAGAACAAATTTTGAAGTAAATGCATATACACTATGAAGGTTTTTCCGATTTAGTAATATAAACAACTTTTATAAATTAATTTAAGAAATAATATAATATTTATTTTTTTAAAACTCTTCATTTGTTTTAAAAAGATTTGTACATAAAAGTAAAAAATTTAATCCAAATTGTCGTTTTAAAATTTACATTAACTAATGTTCACTTTTGCACTTCATATATACAATTATTTGGTAAAAATTGTACAATTGAATTCACACATTTGCTAAAGCCCCCCTTGTTCTTCCGAACCACTTTTTAATTCGATGTGGCATGGATTCAACCAAATCTGCGTTCTGTCTCAAAGCTCTACAACGCCGCTTGAAGGTGTTTCATAATTTTCCAGCCATTTTTTCACAATAGACCATAACTTCTCAAACAAATTGAAGTCAGGGCTTTGAGCTGGCCCAGTCATCGTACCGAATGTTTGATTTTTGAGCCATTCCTTCACCAATTTTACCATTGCGACAGGTAAATTCTCATTTATCATATTCAAATATACTTTCTTATTCATTATTCCGTCGATTAGAATAAGTGGACCAACTCCAAACTGCGAGAAATACCTCCAAACCACAAATGACTCACCCCAGTGGTTTAGTGTCTGAATAACTTGGTATTGCTTAGTCACTCTGCCTGTGTTAGTCCAAAAGTATTGTACACCATCTAAAGTACCTTTATATTTTTCACTATAAGTTTTGACTTTTTTTTTATTTCTTAGTGGGAATGCACACAACCTTTTTAATGCTCTGAGCTGATTGCTGGTTGCTTTTTCCTCTCCTGACAAAAGTACTCGCGCCATTTACCTTGCCAAACCAAAAATTTGTTTATTAGTTTTTTGAAAAATTATACACCAACGAGTTTTTTGAAAATCTATTCAAATTTTCAAATTCGTACTAGTCCAAAAGTGAACACCAATAGTGATTTCAAAGTGACAGCCATTTCAATAAAACCAAAAGTGTGCTAATTTTTCAAAAATAAAATGGAACAAAGAGCAAATATAAAATTTTGTGTCAAACTTGAAAAAAAAAAAATTATTGAAAAAAGTTTATTGAGATGATTGTATGAGTCGTACGCAAGTTTATACGTGGTTTATACGATTCAAAAATGGTCGTGAGGGTTTAAATGACGACCCTAGAGCAGGACGTCCAGAAGCTATTAATCGTGCTGATCTTGTTGAAAAAGTTCGTGAAATCATTGGTATCGATGCAAATTTTACTACGAGAATGTTGGCTGAGGAATTGAATACGAGTAAAAACACTATTTGGAGAATTTTAACTGAAGATTTGGGGAAAAGAAAGGTCTGTGCGCGATTCGTTCCACATGAATTAAATGACGACCAAAAAATCGCTCGAATTCTTAATGAAAAAAGGGATTTCTGTCATCGACCATCCACCGTATTCGCCTGATCTATCACCATGTGACTATTTTTTATTTTCAAAACTGAAAACCAAGATGAAGGGACCATTTTATGATGATATCCCAGCAGCCGTAACCGAGGTACTGAAGAACATTTCTATAAATGACATAAAAAAATCTATGCATGCGCTGGTTGATCGTTCCAAACGTTGTGTTGAGTCAAATGGAACCTATTTTGAATAAATAATAAATTTAAAAGATAATATAATGTGTATTTTATTTTGTATCCAAAAAGTTCGGTTATTTTTGGTACACACCGTGTATATATTATTGGCGCTTTGTAACCTTTGAAATGTTTTTGTGCCGAGCTCCTCCTCTAATTTGTGGCGGTACGTCTAGCTTATTCTAAGCGGCCTCCGAATGGCAACTCAATTTTTAATAGCAGCTTTGCTTTTCATGTCAGAAATACCCAGGGTTTGACATAAATATCTAGAGGCAACTACGTACGAAAAAATTAGCTTCTAAAATTTTGGATTACGGGCGAACTAGGACTTGAACTTTGATAACCTCTCCGCTATTGTTGTACCCTTTTTAATAGAACAAAATTTTTATGATCAGACTAGCTTATAAAAAGTTATTGGTGGTCATACATAAAAATACATATATGTACATATGTATACATAGTTTTCTTTTTTTCTTTTCTTCGCGGTTTAAAAAATAAACATAAATAAGTATCCGGAACCACATTCCGCAAGCCAAATCATAATGAGCCTAAAAAAAATAGTTAGTGATAATATATGTACCTGTATTTATTAAAAAAATAATAGACCAATTAAAGATTGAGCATTCTGAAGATAATATTTTTTTAACCTCTAAATAATTGCTATCTTAAACAATAGGAGGATAACACGAATTAAATACAATTTTACACCTCGCAGCACATCACCGAATTCTCAACACATGCGCCGAGCAGTGAACAATCTTTGCGCACATTAAATGGCCTACATGGAACATAAGTATTTATTTAATAAATGAGTAACTATTTGTGTGTGTGCGCTCATAAACATTAAACCAGTTTAATTGCGCCAAAACCAATTCTGCGCCAAGGCCATCTGTCCGCGCTGAACTCGGCAGCCGAATTGCATTACAAGCTTTCAAAGCTTTAGTGATGCTATATTTTCTGAGCCAAAACTAAACGCCAAAAACTCACTGACTACATGCCCAAGCAATCACATACAAATAATAATAATAATAGTATAAAATAAAATACAATAAGCAAAAAAAAAAAAACGAAATCACATCATTTAATTTTTCTTTTCAAACTTTTTGTCATTGCAGCTGTAATAGTCTTAGCGTGTTGTATTCTGGGACAAGCGCAACTGGACTACCAGCGCAAGCCATGGCCAACGTACAGCCTGCAAAATATGCCACAAACGAGATTCACATGCCACGACAAGATACTCGGCGGCTACTATGCCGATGCGGAGACTCAATGTCAGATGTTCCATGTGTGCGTCAAAGTGTCCGGCGTGGGGGTAAGTGCAAAAAGTCGATACAGATGTGATATCTGCACGTATTTAGTAACTACTACTAGTTATGTACAATAGTATGTACAATAATATGTAAGTATGTGAAGATCGAGTGAAGTCAAGTGCCAATAGCACCTTTTAACGGTCGACGAAACGCACGACTTGCTATGAGGAATGCAGAAAACAAAAAAACAAACAAAAATTGAAAAAAAAAAAAATTAAAAAATTATGCCAACAAAGCATTAGTGCGAATAAAATAGCAATAAAATCGAAATCGCAATCGAAATGTCAAAATATATTTGTACGTATGCGTTATTAGACTTGAATTAGGGTCGCGTTACCAGCCAGCATTAGTTGCTGTGGCGCGCATTGAAAGCCTTCAATAGTTATAAGTGCGCGCTTAGTGGGGGCTCAAGTAGTTTCTGTTGCTGTTGTCGTGTATCTCTGATTACAAGTAAAACGACAGAGTGTAACTAAGCCACTTGCCATTTTACTAATAATTTTACTTGCAGTCATTTGATGGACTCAAAGTGGTTTGGTAAAGGTGGTCTTGCAAAAAGAAGTTAATTAATCCGTTGGCTCCATTTTATGTTTCAATATACATATCAAAGTATGTTATAAGTAGGAGATCACGCTCTCTACCGTAGTCAGATATCCCGGAATAGTCTTAGATTGCAAACTCGACTGAGGCCGGAACACGGCAGAGAGTTCAAGGAAAGCTATAACTCCACTTTACGTCTGCAAAACGGCCATAGGAAAAAGAGGGGGTCTCAGACGGAGTATCGTGCACTGGCTATACACATTAGTAGTTAGACCAATCCAAATTATAGAGTTCAACGGTCGGCTGCTATCCAGGTAACAGAAGCACTTCCGTCAACACCCTCAAAAGCCCTGAGAACTTTTCTTAAAATCCTTCCACTGGACCTATAAGAGAAACTTCAAGCGGGCTGCAATGCAATCACACTGAATACAACTCAACCTTGGACGAATTTCAGCATGGGACACACAAATATAGTATTTTTCGCAGCAGTGTCGAAGAAGCTCGACTACACCAGCTCCTGTATGTGCTCGAAAATGTTTTCACCACGCTCATCCCAAATAGAAAAAAATCAAAACATCTTATCCTTCTAGACCGGTTCTCCATAAACGACTGGGGAAATAATGGAATGACACTCCAACGATTTTTGCCGCAGCTGTAGGGACGAAGAAGAGGAGGATGCCATCGAGCACTACCTCTGCCACTGTCCAGTCTTGGCATCTGCGCGACACAAGTTCCTTGGAAAACATTTCTTCGACTGTTTCGCTGAGTTAGCCTCATGTTGCATAGTCAAGTTTTTTTCGACACCTTTTTCTCATATTATTTGAAGATCTCTTCAACCTAAACGAAGGCATCGGACGTCTCTTCGGACGTCGAAAAACATTGACCACGCATATAAGGCCTCTCTCAAAAGTAATTTCCAGCAATTCTCGGGTTATGTAGATATTTGATTTACGGAAACTTACTTAGTGCTTATACGCGATGCTTGTGATATCAGGGGATCAGGTCCCATTGGTATATTCTACAGGAATGGCTTGGCCAACTTTTTGAATGTAAACTATAATTTAATTGCAAATCTTAGGGTGCAGCATTGGCGGAGATGTGTTTTCAGGAAACCATCCGATGGAACGCTATTTCAGGCTACCTGACCATTGCATTGTTTTCAAGGCGGAGATATCTGCAATCATGGAGACTGCTCGGAGCCAGCTTTAAAGATAAGGATATTTCATTTTCAGCGACAAACAGGCAGTAAAGACCACTAGGTTCGCTCGCTGGACTGTCGCTGACCAAACAGATTCATATCGTTAAAGAACACTTTGGTATGCCCTATGCTACCTTCAAGCTGTTTCTCAAGGTAGCGGCAAGGTGGAATGATCCTACAACTTGCCAAAAATCCAGGCACACCTGTCCGAAATGGAATAAAAAGAGCTCACGATATATATACTCCTTAAAAAGAGGGGAAATGTTCAGAGTAATATGAGTTCTGATAGGATGATACGCTTAAGGCTTCAGGGATCCGTAAAGAAGTTGCTGCAAATATTATGAGGTAGAGGAAACGATCACTGACGCTGTTTGGTCTAGAAGATAGCCAATGGATCTAATGAGCTTGCTTAGAGTATCAATACGGGTGGACAATGAAGTCCGATGGTCAAGCTTTTGTGGCATCACAACCTAACCTAACTTTATTGAGATATAAAACAAAAACGTGAAATATAATAAAAATTATATCAAAAAATAATGATAGGAATATATAAAAATAGTTGGAAGAATTTTAGGTCAAACACTCCTACGTACAGGGCGGAAACCCACAACCATCAGCGGGTTAATATTCTGCTGTAACCCTCAAGCATATCTCAATAGGCAAGAGAACGATGGCCAAAATAAACTAGTTTATTCGAAAAAAAAACAGTAATTCAAGTCACATTTAAAGAAATTGGGTGACGCAGATACACATGCAAGAATTATATGGGGCAGGAATGAGTGATACCTTAACACTTACCTGGCTCTATCTAGAAGTTGTCTTACACACGTAAGAGCTTTTTTGTTTAGGAAACTAAAATAAGTCTCAAAGGTGGATAACGATCCGTCTTAAGCTTCGCAAAAAGCGTTGATGTGTACTACGATGTATTGCGGTTTTCGGCCGTGCTCCTCCTCCGGCAGCTTGGTTTTTATGAGTAGCTTTTTTTCATTTCAGAAATACAAGAGTTTGGCTTGAAACTTCCAGCCAAGGATGAGGATGCAATTGGAAAATAATTTTGTATGTTGGTCGAAGCACGACTCGGACTCTGGCCTACCTCGAATCAAGCATAACCTTTAGTACCAGGCGGGAGCCCTAATCTGAGTAAAATTTAGCAGGTACCCAGTATAACCCATTTGGTATTGCCCACATTTTCAACTACCATCGACTTGTGAATTTGTACGAGGAGCTTTTAAGTTCAAGTCGGGAATAAGTTCGGAAGGGTGTCGCTTATGCTTTTCATCTGTAGAAGCACCACCACAAACTAAATTAACTAAAGTAGCTGTTTACACTTACATATATATTTGCAATGCAATTTTTAAGCAGACAACAAAAACATAAATCGAATTACACTGAGGAGCCATAAAATGCGCTCCTACTTTTTCCAATCACACGAAAACCCACAGCGATATGTTAGTGAATGACCTTTAAAGTCGAATAAATTTTTATTTTTGTAGATTTATTTGTCAATGAATTTGTTGAACTCTTGAAATCCTCAACTTGTTGTTACATGAACAGGAAGGAGAAGCAGACGAAACGTGTGGGCTGCATAGCCACAGGCAAGCGTTCTAACTCGCTGAGTTGTCGAACTACTGTGGACGTTTCACATTTCTGCTGTGCAATTTATTTTCATGACTTTTTTTCTCCTATGATTTGTCAAGATTTTAGGTATATATACTCGCATATGTATTTTCAACTTCATTGTAAATTAATTTAAATGTGCAAACCGGCAGTCGTGGAGATTCAACGCAGCTGGTAATGCAACGCCGACACATTTAAATGCGCTGATCAGCAAACAATAACAACAACAAATAAAAACAAACAAATTCAGATTTTATTGGCTTCTAACGGTAGCTAACAGTTTACTTTTAAGTAGCTGCATATGTACAAATGTATGTGTAGAAATGTATGTGTAGTTAGGTTAGTATGTATGTGCATAAGTTCTTGACATGAGTTTGTGTGTCGCAACATTATGGTATGTTGTATATTATGTTCATATGTATATTCGAGAGCTCCCACAGCGCTTGCCACTGCCGTCAAATGGCAAAGTTCAATTCAAACTCATGCGATAATTATGTATTGCAGAATATGCCAATTTTTGTTGTTGCTCGAGCTGATTATAAAATTTATGATCCGCTCTGGTTCAACATTGTGCGGCATTGCACTTACATACATACAACATGTTTTAACTTGAAGATTTAGCTGTATTCTTAACTGCTTCGTGCATTTTGCCTTAGAGGTATGAGTAATCATGTACTTATATTCGATTACTCCACTGAGAGTTCTTGAGTTCTCATAAACAGGCCAAATGTATGAATTCATTACATACATACATATTTACATATACGTCCGTATAAGTATTACAAACATATAAATATATATACATACTTTCTAGATTATTGTATGAATTGTAAATTTAGAATGCTTAAGGTTGGTTTTGTTGTATTATTGCAAAATAGTTTTCCGCATTTGGTGAAGTTCTTGGAAAAACAATATAAGAACGCGTATTATTTTGTAATTATTCCAGCAACTGCTTTAATGTAGGTCATAGTTGGAAGCCATTTTCAGCAAATATTTCCTCATTTGACTTATATGTAGAAAAATAATATTTTTATTAAATTTGTTATAAATATAAGTAAATCTGTATAATGTGTCTACCCACATAGGACATATGTATTTATGATCAAAATATATTTACTTTTGCCTCAATAATTATAATAATTTAAAATAATTTGAAACTAAAATTTCATTCAGGTTCAGGACTTCCGTTTCTTGTGTCCCAATGGCACTGCCTTCGATCAGGAAGCACAAATCTGTGCCGATTGGGGAGATGTCGACTGTGAGTCCTCTGTGCTGTATTATGGCAGTGACAATTTTGATCTATATCGTTTAGGTTCCGGCTTTGAGAGCAAACGAGCTCCACTTGCGGAAGAAGAGGAAGCAACATTCCATTTACAGCGCGCGGAGAGTGGTAAATAAAAATTAAAGAGATATTCAAAGAAATAAAAAACATAAATATATGAAATATTTAAATGAAGATGGAAATAATTAATGCAAAATGAAATAAAATAAAATTAAAATGAAATAAACTGAAATAAAATACCAAACTAACGCTTAATTATTTCATAAAAATAAAAAAAAAAACAATTAAAATAAAGTCAAATAAAAAAAAATTGCATAAATCAAAACTAAAATAAAATAAAAAGAAATATATTCAATGAAATAGAATTATTTTAAAGAACAATATATAATCAAATAATAAAATTAAAATCAAACAAATACATAAATTAATAAAACTAAATTAAAATTTAATAAAATAAACAAATAAGTGAAATATAATAGAATGAGAAAAATGTAAAAAATAATAAAAATTAAGCTAAATTAAAATAAAAAGAAATTGCACTAAAAAAGAAAAAAAGAGGAAAAGAAAAAAAATAGAATAAAAAATAAATAAAGTAAAATGAAAAAATTATATTAAATAAAATTGCATAAAGTAAAATAAAAAAGAAAAAGAAAAGAAATTAAAATTAAAATGAATAAAGTAAATTGGAACGAAATAAAATAAAATAGAAAAAATTAAACTAAATATAAACTAAATAAAATTGAACGAAATAAAATGAAATCAAAATAAAATATGTTTTAATAAATTAAAATAAAATAAATTAAGATGAAATTACACAAAGAAATTAAACTAAATAAAGATATTATAAAATAAACAAGTAAAGAAAATAACATACAATGGTAAGACCTAGAGAAAATTAAAATAAATAAAATAATATAAATCAAATGAGATAAAATAAAATTANAAAATAATATAAAATAAAATAAAATAAAATATTAATTTGTTTCAAAATGAAAAAATTAATTTAAAAAAATAAATTAAGAAGTTAATGTAGTGAGATTAATTAAGTTGAATAAATAATAAAAATTGAATAAAATAAAAACTTAACTTAAATTAAATTGAACCAAAAATTAGAAAAAAATAAAATTAGAAATAAAAAAATAATAAATTTAATTCAGAAATAATTAAATTTAAGTAAAATACAAAAATTCAAATGCTATAAAATAAAGGGAGAAATAAAAAAATTAGTTAAAAATAAATTAAATTGAACTTAAAAACAGAAACAAAATAAATAAAATTAAAATTAAAAAAGAATAAATAATTAAATGAAATAAAATACAAAAATTCAAATGCCATAAAATAAAAGAAGTAAATTAAAAAAAAAAAATGAATTAAAATGATAATTCTTCAAGACATACTCATTTAAATTTATTTTATTCCCTTCACTATTCCAAAACGCTTAATTATATTTAATTACTCAACATTTATACCAAATATCTCATTTCGTGCGTTTTTCTTCACATAACAGGTGATATCCGACGCTCGAAAGAGACGCGTGTAGATCAAAAGTCACGCCCGGATCAACCGCCAAATTATTCAAAACATTTTGGCGCTACATCGCAACGCAACTCTTTTCACAACAACAACGATAATAACAATGATTATCAAGCGAAAAAAATCGAGACGACACCAGCGCGCAGACCCATTGTTAATTATTATACGCCAACTTCGTCCACAACCACTTCAACCACAACAACAACCACTGAGCGCAATTACGATGAGTCGAAACGTAAGTTGGAGGGAAATAATTTATTAAGTGACCTATTTGCACATAATGTTGTTGGAAAAAGGCAACAAGTTTTGAATTAAACAAATATATTTTTTATTATGAATTTTCACATTATTAATCATTTTGCAGAAGAGTACGATGACATCTTCAAAGGTTCGCACAGCTCGCATTTCTTTGCTAATCGCAATGGTGGACGCGAAGACGACTTCATAGATCATCCGGTGAAGACAAAGTACAACGATTTTACTGACTACAACAAAAAGACGACTGAAATTTCTACGACGGGCAAAACACGCGCGCAGCCGACACGCCCCAAGCGCATACAACAAACCAGTACAACAAAAACAACGACAGTTGCAACAACCAGTACTTCACTTGCGACAAATGCACCGAAAGTCACGAAGAAGGTTACACTGCAAACCTTTTACAACGCCACCAACCCGGACTTCAACCAACAGAAGTCCACCGACGCTTCATCACCAACAGCGGCATCCTCTTCCACTACGCGTCCTAGTTACATTGCCGCAAATCGTTTCAGTTTCAATTCGAATGACTACTATCAGACACAAGAGAAAATCGAGCCGACTACTTACAACCCGACGAGCAGCATTTATCGCGTAAAGAGCACAACGCCAAAGTATACCGAGTTGACACGCGAGAACACCGTTAGTACGAGAGGCAGAAGTACGAGTGGTAGCTCGTATTTGCCAAAAGAGACAACCAAAAGTCAACATAAGCCCACAGCTTCGGTGCGAAAGGCGCAAAAACTAGAGCGCACCCAACAAAAGCTGGCTGCGCGCAACTCGACATCCTACGCGAGCGTAAATGAATTTGATGATTTTGCAAAAATAAAATTACAACCACCACAACCCTTCCAGCCGGCACAAGGAACACAATCAACCCAGTCCACACAACCATCACAACGTCCGAACCCAACGAACCAGTACCAGGAACCCCAGTTCTACCGCATACGTGGCTCGACGGTAGACAAATCGCTGCGACAAGGTAATCAAGAACCAACACCTTTTAGTGGTGGCCCACAAAAACAGCGCGGCTCGAGCACAACAGCGACTGCAGCCATTAGTACGACAAGAGCCGCCTCGTCCAACCCTGAGACGCGACCACGTGGTTTTGCCAGCCGGGGCAGCATCAATTACAAGGCGACAACGCAGCGTGAGACGGACTATTATGCGCCTACTACTAGCACCACTAAGAAATTCTCTACGCTTGTGCCCAAGACGCAACAGTCCATTACACCGACAACTTTTAAGCCGACCACCTATCAAAAACCATTGGAGAATTTCTATTATCAGACGCAGCTGACGGCACGACCATCAAGCAAAACGACGAAGCAGCCAAGTACAACAATTAACACACTGACACCCACCACCGCAAATCCTTACAATGATCCTGATGAGGACGATGGTCAGTACCACCCAGAGCTGTATGAGGTTGATTTCCCACGAAATCGTTTCAATTTGCAACGTTCTTCAACACCAACTACGAAAGTACCTACTACAACCACTACACGTTCCAATAGTTACAATACTGACTTCCAGAATCCGCAAAAACACTTAAAGACTCAACAACAAACCGCATTCCGTAAGCAACAGCAAGAACAGGCAGACCCCACTGACCTCAGCGATGAGGATGAACTCTTCAAGACGGCACATTCTTTGAATTTCGGCGCGGCGAGCATTAATAAATTGCGCGCTGATATCTTCAAAGCCGAAAAGAACTCACAGCAATATAACTCACAATATAGTCCGAAACTCGAAACCACCTCTTCGGTGAAACCGATTACATCTACTGTTTATACGACAACAACGCCGACCACAACCTTCAACTACTTCGCCTACTCGACCACACAGCCTACTACCAAACTGCATGTGTCCAGCACCAGCGCTCCATCTACAACGGTGAGCCCACCAACGACAGTAACAACGAGACGTCCCACGACCTCCGTCACCACACCTTACAGTGTTTCGGTCTCAACAGCGAAGGTAACTAAAGCACCCAAGAGCAGCAAGTCTTCAGCGAAAAAGGGCAAAAAAGGTAAAGGCGCCTCAAAACGTCCGCCACATGCCGACGAGGACACCAGCTACGACTATGCTTACTACGATACCGATACGTTGAGCGAGTCACCGCAGGAGTATCCAGACTATGAGATTTCTGAGTTCGTGAAGACACGCAAGAACTAAGCTGGGTGGAAGTCGAAGGAAGAATTTACATAAAAAATCTATAATTCATAGTCGCGCCATCACATTGCCTATAAATAAACAATATAACAGTCCTTCCGAGCGGATACACAATTCATTTCAATAATCCAGTGTCGCCAGGCACAACTAGTTAAAAGTTAGAACTACTCCAAATATCCTTCAGCATCCCTGTAGACACGAAGAAACGCGGTGTCTTTTTTAAAACACTGCAGAAGTTGAAGTCGGTGCCAGTGCCAGAGATTTTAAATGTCACACAAACTTCGTCATCCCTGTTTTTGGCCGCAGCGCTTGTCGCTCTACACATTAAACAGTTATTATTTGTTTTTGTTTCCGATATCTTATATACATACATATACTTAATTAATTTTATTTGCGTGTTTCTAGTTATTTGCGAAATAATTAAGAAATAAAAAAGAAAATCGCGTAAATGCCGCTCTTCATAGTCGTTAGACAAATGCTCAACATTTTTTATAATTTTTATATGCTTTTTGTCACTCTCCATTTTCCCCTCTTCTTGTTCTTATGAATTCATGAATGCGAAACATTTTTAATATATTTTTTTATTATTTGTTTATTATTCTATGTACGACTTTATTTATAATGAAAACCAGTTGAGTTAGATTACATAAGTTCGATATGGCAAAGTAATTGTATGTAAAGGCAAAGTATGTTTACTTTGTAAGTTTTTGCTGTAAATAAATTTTAATAAATATTTAAATAAAAAAGATGAATATCAAAATATAATTCACCTAAAAGGTAAGTAAAGTATTTATCTATTTACAGAGGTAAAAGGAATCAGTTGATAAGTCTTTAAGTTACCCCATCGTGTTTGACTGTTGTAAAGCCAAACTTAAATTAGGAGGATTTGTTGATCAAAACAGTCTAAATATGCTTGGCGGACGCCATAACCGAGTAGCTAGCATTGATTGCCAACATCAAAAATTATAGTAAACTAGGTAACAACACGTCCGGGGTGGGTTAGATACCGAGAGCTGAAGAGGAAAGCAAGACGCATTTGCAGCGAAAAAAAGAGAGAGGCCGAAATGCGGGAGTACGAAGAGCTCGAGAAGCTGGTCGACAAGGGATAATGCTTGAAAGTTCCACGAAAAGATACGGCGACTTACGGAAGGTTTCAATGCCGAAACAAACTCTTGTAGAACTCAGAGGGGTGAGCTTGTGACTGATGCCCAGAGTATACTGAATTTATGGAAGGAACACTTCTCCAGCCAGCTGAATGGCCGTGAAAATGAAACATACGGAGAAGGTGAACCGGAAACTTCAATTTATGATGATGGAAAATTGTTCCATTACCCGAATATGAAGAAATCCGAATAACAGTTGCCTGCTTAAAAATAACAAAGCGGCGTGTACCGATGTATTACCGGCTGAGCTATTCAAATACGGCGGTGAAGAAGTGATCAGGTGTATGCATCAGCTTTTTTGCAAAATATGCTCAGATGAACGCATGCCTGACGGTTGGTACCTAAGTGTACTCTGCCCAATCCGCAAAACAGGCGATCCCACAGTCTATAATAATTACTGTGGAATAAGCCTTCTTAACATCGCATATACGAGCGTATTATATGAAAGACTAAAACCCACAGTCAAAAAACTGATTGGAGCTTATCAGTGTGGCTTCAGACCTGGTAAGTCAACCATTGACCATATATTCCCTGTCCGCCAAATCTTGGAAAAGACTCGTGAAAAGACGATCGACATACACCACCTTTTCGTCGATTTCAAAGAAGCCTTCGGCAGCACGAATAGGAGCTGCTTTTACGCCGCAATGACTGCATTTGGTATCCCTGCAAAACTTATACGTCTGTGTGAACTGACCTTAAGCAGCACTAAAAGCTCCATCAGGATCGGGAAGGACCTTTTCGAGTCGTTCAAATAAGGTTTCAGAAGAGGTGACTCTTTATCGTATGATTTTTTTAACTTATTGCTGGAGAAAATAAAACGAGCTGTCATTACACAAACAGTCATCACATTCGTGACTTGGCTCCTACGTCACTGTTGACAGTTATAACTTTGAAGTCGTTGATAACTTCGTCTATCTTGGTACCAGTATTAACACCAACAACAATGTCAGCTGCTACAATACTTTGGACTGAGTAGCAATTAAAAAGTAAAGTCTTCTCTCGGCGAACGAAAACCAAATTCTACAAGACGCTCACCATACCCGGCACCCGTTATCTAGCTCTTCTAGTGCATTTCTAACATGACTCAACCGACCAAGCTTGCCAAGCGCTAATTATACAATAATATGCATTGGTCAAAGTTGTCTGTGTAAAAGTGTGATTGATTTCGCTAGATGGGTTAGAAAGATAATATTTCTTACTGGAAAGATAATGGAAGAAGTGTTGATCACTTAACTCATTAGTGTTTGAGTGGATGTCAAAGAGAAAAAAACAGCACAGAGAAAATACGGTATAATCTACAATTTTTCTTTCATAAAGGTTAAAAGGCAAGTCAGGTAGGTGAAAATGTGAGTAATGTTTATAAAGGGTGATCCATTACAATAGAACAATTTGAAGATTATCCCATTCAAATCATGGTAGCGGCTACTCCTCAGATGAGTCGAATTGAGTCCAATTTACGATGACTCGTTCGTGTATTTCGAGTGATACTTTTGTGATTGAGTGGAACTTTTGTTCCAAGGTATAAATCGAAGCGGCATTGTTCGCATAGACTTTAAATTTTAAACATCCCCACAAGAAAAAGTCAAGCAGTGAGATATACCCAAAACGTTAAGTTATCTGCTCAATGAAGTGTTCTTTCAACAAATTCATTGATAGATACGATGTGTGGGAAATGGCGACGTCTTGTGCAAACCAAATATCGCCGAGATCACGAGCTTCAATTACGGACATCAAATAATTGGTTGTCATGGCGCGACAACGGTCGCTATTGCCGTTTACGTTCTCAGCAGCATTATTTTTCAAGAAATATGGACGCCTTATTCCACCGACCCAAAAACCATACCAACCGGATATTGGATTATTTTGTACTAGACATAATACATAAATAAGGAATACGAAAGGTTTGTGACCCAATTTCTCAAACCTAAAAGATTGGTCGTATATATGGTCAAATGATCCAACCAGCCGGTTCCAAAAATTAATATCCAAAACATATAATTGGCGCTTTGTAACCGCTGAAGTGATTTTTCGGCCAAGCTCCGACGCCGACTCATATACTAACATAATAATTATCATATAAATTTTAATTCATATTTTGTTGCCAATAAATATATACATATGCAAAATAAATAAATTTCGGCGCATATTCTGTGTACTATAAATTCAGTTTAAAATTTTTCGTATACGAATAAAAATCTTATTGACCACTTGCATCTTCGTTTAGCATACCATTTTCGAAACGAACGCAGTCGAAAGACTATCAAATATGTAGGTTAACAATAATTTCATATATATGTATATATATATATATATATATATATATATATAATTGTCGCTTTGCAACGACTGTAACCCGCTCACCTCCTTCTCATATTTGTGGTGTGCGGTTTGATGTTTTCCATCGGGAAGAGCTTTGATTTTCGTGTCTCTGCTTTAGAGCAATCCACCGCTTGACCAGCAATTAAAAATATCTAAATCTTGCCAATATTTTTTGTAGTGTACATTGATATGTGATGCGCCTAAAATTATGTGTTTTATTACTGAGTCTTTGTTTAACAAATTTTCTGACAGACAGACATAAATATCTTCAACGCATCGCACTGTGGTTCACTTTGACCACTTGGGGACCAAAATAACTCGTAATCTAATCAGTATTTTATATGATGTGGGTTTTCCCCTCAGAATACATGCATACTTTCAATAATTGCTCTTATTTTTTTTTAATTTTTGTTTATTTTTTTTTCGAATACACATATTTTGTTGTCGCTTTTGCTTGGAATATAAACGTTATTTTGGAATAAAAATAGGCCTAACACGGCTTTACACATTAAGATGGCCTGTTTTTTTTTTTCAAAAGAAAACAGTTACAAGAAGTTAAGGGCATCTTTCGAAGAATCCACAATTTAAGTTAAATAAATGAAAAAAGAATGAAAATGTTAGCAATAAGTTTACTTTCATACCTTTTTATGAAATAACCCATTCTCCTGCTTTTAAAGTTTTCTATGCAGGTAGAGACGGACCTGGCTATACATATTATATTTTTGGTTCAATACGAGGTGTGGCAATTAAGTAATGAGACTGACTATATTGCCGCGATTGTGGTAACCCTGCGACCTTGAAATTAAATAATATTTCACGACAACTCGGCGTGTTCCAGTATTTGGCCTCTAAAGGGATCGCCGTGTTGCAACAACTGCCTACTCGCCGATATGTGTATTTTTTTGTTCCCTAGAACAAAATCGGTGGTCAAAGGAACCCATTTCAAGTCAGTTGAAGACATCCTAGTCGAAGCGTTCCAGAAATGTTACGAAGCATGGAAAACGCACTGGAATCGTTATATAGCTTCCCAAGCAGCTCTAATTTTTTTCTCCAGAAACCTTGTTTGAACGTCTCGAAAAGTTCTTCCCTATCCTGCCGGAGCTTTTAGTGTTACCCAATACTAGCTTCACAGTCATATAAGTTTTGCGGGAATTTCAAATTCAGTTATAGAGGCGTAAAGGGAGCTCTTTCTGGTGATCAAAATCGACGAAGAGGTGGTGTGCGTCCGTCCCTTTTTTTACGGGTCTTTTCCAATATTTGTGGCATGGTGGATACCTGGTCAATGGTTGATTTACCAAGTCTACAGCCACACTGACAAGGTCTAATCAATTTGTTGACGGTAATCTTGAGTCTTGCACACACACACAGACTTTGTATGCAATATAAAGGAGGCTTAACCAACGGTTATTAAAGCAGACTCTGGGTTCGCGCTTTTTGCGCATTGATTACAGAAACAAAATCTTTGTACAAACCTCTCTAGGAGCCATAGAAACAAACTGCCAAATTTTCAGTACGATCTTCTTGGTTGTTTCGGAGATCACAAAAAAAAAAAAACAAAGTTTGTTTTATAAATATTAGATAAAAGCAAAATATTTTATTATTTTAATACAATTAAAAAGGAGCAAAATTTTATGCCGCTTCATTACCAAATAATTCAGTCTTTGAACTTCTGTCGCACACATCTGGGCATTGGGAACAAGTAGAGCAACATGTTGAAGGCAGCCAAACCAACAGCAAATGCACACGAAGCAGCAACATCAATTGTTTCCTGCAAAAGTATTACAAAACATAATTTTAATAAAGCCTTTTGATGGGCTTTATATTATATTTAGTGTCCTCACATCTGGATCTGCCATGCCGAGACGTTCATGCAGAAAATCAGCTGGTTTCGGGCATATAACCGACGCCGTTGGCGTGCAATTCATTTTACGCGATTGAAAGGCTATGCTATGCAACAACGAGGAGACGTAACGTGTATGTGTGCCCTTCGTATTATCCTGCAGCCACGGTTGTAAGCCCTTGAATGAACGCACTGTGCCACTAGCCAACGCTATGCTGATAACCAGTATATAAGTCACGGCAATGGCAGCATTGAAAGGCACCTTCACGACCAATAGGAAAGCTATGCTCAACTGTTCGGCGAGTACAAAGCTAGACCATAAGGCGACTAGTAGGTAAGCAAAAACAGTGCCATTGGGGAATTTAGGATCCAGGAGCAAACTTTGGAGAGAGAGAGCAATAGCATAAAAAATGTGTAAATATTTATTTTTAAATTTTTCAAATAATTTCTCAAGCCTCACGGATAAATGACGCAGCTGGCAAACACCGCTGATATCAACGAAAATGGTATTGCTATGGAATTATAAGCTATCAACAGCGTGGCGCCCGAGTAGAGACCTTCGGGTGTGTCCTGCGAGAAGCGTTTGCGCCAAATGGGAACTGTGAGAGATATAAAATGAGATATAAAATTATTAAAGAGAACATTTGAGCACAGCTTGAGCTGTTTATACATAGTGAGATTGTGGTGAATATGCCGCAGCCGTAAGCCAAACCAATTATATTGAGTATCATGCCATTTTTACTAAAGAAGCCATGGGCATCGTCCTGTAAGGAACAAAAAAAAATTTTGTGACTAACTCATCTTGTTTAGAAACCAAAAAAGTAAAACTCACGCCAACATTTGTATAAAATAGCCACATCAGCGCCATGGTCATAGGGAGTAAGAGCAGACGCATGAATAATGCTTTCATGCCCGCAAGACCGCAAGAGAAAGTTGAAGCGAGCAGTTTTCTAGAATATAGAAATCATGAAGTCAACACTCTTACGTCTTATTAACAGTTATATAACACTTACAAGTACAGCATAATCCACACTTTCAATTCACCAGGTTTACCATAAGCCAAGGGTACTTTTCCGGTGCCCATTGTGTTTAGCGGCGCATCAGACATGGGAGTCTCACGAGAAAAACGCTCAACTAAAGCTTCAATCTGTTGACTGGATTCCAAAAAGCGATCGCGGCTTCTGTTAGATAAAATACAAATATAAAAATATTTAAATTCAATTTATTTCTTTTTATAAATTTATGTATTTTTCATTTATACGCCCACCTACGATCCACCGTGGACAAGCAAAGATAATACATCAGCGGATTCTCGAGTTGCGGACATGGAAATCCGATGCTATGAAAGTATTCGAGCATTGCACGTGTGCCGCCCGAGTACACCACACCACCGAGGCATAGAAACAGCGCACGATCGAGGAAGGGAAATACATCGGAACGTGGTTTCTCCAAGGAGAGCAATATACCGCAGCCAGTTTTCTTAGCGCTGTTTGAGAGAATCGATATGAGCAAGTAGGCGCTGAGCGGATCTAAACCTTGGGTGGGCTCGTCAAGCAGGAGCATAACTGCAAGCAATGCAGGAAATGATTTAAATTAAAATATTTGGCAGTTAATTAAGTTAACGATGTAAACATAAACAATATTTTCCATTGTATAAGACTCGTAAAATGGGTTGTTTCATAATATTGGATGAATAAAAAATATATTAAAAATAATATAAAAGTAAAGAAAGGTGTGTACTAGCAAGCAGAGCATCGATTCAAATTCTGGCCCAACCAGCATCTAAAAAATAATAGAAAACTAATTTAAAAATTTTAATTATTCCAACTGCGCTTGACACGCTGTAAGGAATACTATCCTCTCCGGGAGTATTTCTGATTTTAAATAAAAATACCGAGAATGAACTTTTCTAAAAATCACTTCAGCGGTTATAAAGCGCCGTCTTTTAGCCACTTTGAACTTAGTACTCTCAGAGAGTAGAAACCTATTTGACTATCTTCTATGATTTTCGATACATAGAAGCGTATCTTTGCTTTCCGAGTTGTTGTTAAGGACTCGCAGCGTAGACACATCTAGCATACTGCTGAAAAATCGTCCGTCTATCACAACATACTCGATTTGGTTCAAAGTTTTTCGATCCCAAGATAGACAAGTAGTTTGATTAACCTTCTTATTTTGGAATCTACCACACCGGCAACTACAATATATTTCGACCCATTTGACACTGATGAAGGATTTTCTGACTGTTGCGCCAAGGATACCTTCTTTGCCCACCCGGACGATAATGTCCCCAAGCGTGTTTTTTACGTCAGTAAGAAAGCAACGCTCATAAGTAAGTTAGAGGCGCTGCAAATGGGCAATATATGGAAGTAATTTTCCTTTAATGCAAGTTGTGGCTAGGCATTCATAATAACTGTAATATTATACATATCACAATAACCTACTCGTTTCCGCCAATCGTAGGTTTTAGATGACGTTGAAGTTGGCTTAAAGCTCCAATCAGCCGGCCACTGAATGTTCAGGTACATACCCTACATACCTTGACAGTGGAAGTCATGTAGAGATTAGTCTCTCATCTGTGCGTGTCTGTAACAGGTTGTGCGACGAAGTCGCGAAAGTAAGAAATGGTAGTTGACTTGCAACAGTAATTGCATACCAAGAAGCAGATCTGCCCTAAACTACAAAACTAGACGAAATATTAATTCAATTAAAATTATGTCCCGCATTTCACTGCGAATTTCATGATTCGCAATTTCAGATGGTAAGTAGAAGAAGAGTCTGCGAAGTTAGCTAGGTAAGGAAATTCTTAATATCATAAACTCCCAGTATCTCGGAAGATGATTTCTATGCAGAAATGATTGTAATATTGTCCCAAAGGGTGAATATTTTAATGATCATTTCATGCACCTGATTTCATCAGGTTTATAACGTTTTTGCTACCCCTTAGAATCCCCGAATGATCCTTAGCGGCTATTCCTCAAGCGGACGAGGCAAATAGCCGCAATTCGTCATAGTTATCTACTATATGGTGTAACGGCATGAAAGATGACAATCGCCAATACATTCAAAAGTTTATTAAAGACAGTTCTTCATTTTTTATTGTGAATTGATTGAAAAAGAATTATATTGCTTACGCTGAGAGTATCCATAAAATAATAGTAGATAATAACTTTGAATTTCATCGTACATACCCGGATCTCTCACTAACTGTGTACCAATAGAAAGTCTACGTGCCTCACTCATATTCAAATACTCGACGCGTTTGTGGGCCACTTGCGAAAGAGCCAAATCGGCAAGAATTTGACGCACCTTAGAGCTTTTCAAATAGCCAGAGAGCTACAGAAGAAGAAGAAAAAATTGAAAAAATGCAAATATAAATGCATATTTATTTTCTGTTTTACTCACAATCGTTGGTGTATAATGCAATGTCTGTGCCACCGTCAAGCCGGGTATGAAAGTGCATGATTGTGTCACATAACCACAACGTTGTTGAAAGAGTGCCTTCGTTAGCGGTGAGCCATTGAGTAGAACTTGACCGCGTGTGGCGCCATCTGCGCGACGCGCTATCACATCTAATAAGGCACGTTTGCCGCTACCTGTAAGATTGGTAAAATACAAAATTGAAGAAATAAAATAAATTCTGTAATAGCATTACCTTTAGAGCCGAGAATGGCCATCACTTCACCACTGTGCACAGTCAAATTTACACCTTTGAGCACTAGAGCCGAGCTTCCGCCACCATTGAAGCAACCACCGCCATCCACCTTTGGAGTAAAAAAAAAAAATTGATTAGATATAAAAGACTCAAGAAACGAACTTGGTCAAAGGATTGTGTTGTTTTCACAAGTGTCAAGTCTTAAAAAAATTTAAATAATGCAAAAATGACTTAATTACGTTGTTGTGGAAAAAATAAACAATTTAAATTTTTTTATAAGTCGAAATTCTCGGTTTTATACATTATTTCTTCACCTCTGTGGTATGGAAGATGTTGTGCGCCTCCAGAACATAATCACTTCCGATCATTTTCATATCATACGTTAAGCCACTATGCTGCGCTGCTACACGACGGTGACGTAGCACAAACACACTCACGCCTACAAATAGCAGTAGATAGCAACTCTCTTGCCGTTTCTGTTTTGTTTACACTTTTCGTTTTGTGCGCTAATGCACAACACTCACGTAGACACTTACACACACACACCCCGATTCTAAGCACACAGTGTATTAGTGTTGAGAGTATAAATTGGTAAATATAACACCAACACTTTTTATTTCTTAATTTTTCACTGCTGCTACACTGAACTCCGTCAACACGTCCGTACACAAAAAACGCTCCGCACAAACTGAAGCTGGAATGGTTTTGTGCCGCTAAGCTAAGTCATATCGTTGGCTCTGAGCCATGGTAATTCCAACTGGAATAATGTGGGTTAAGAACATAGAGACATATATACCTTCAATTATAAAAGAGTGTAAATGAGAGAAGTGGAGCTCAGCAGAGCGGCAGGTGGACAAGATCAACACACAGAGCAGTTTTAGCTGTCACATTAATTTTTGTAATTTTAATTGCTTTTATTTAATGTGTTTTTAGTCTATTTTCAATTTTATTATTTACCTTAATTTTATTCTAATAATTTTTTTATTTATTGAATTTTATTTAATTTTTTGATTTGAGTTTATGTATTTAATTCAACCCAAATTTATGTTGCTTCATTTGATTTAATTTTACTATAATTTATTTTATTTTGTTTTATTCCATTTTATTTAACTTAAATTTATTTTATAAATATTATTTATGTTATTTTATTTTATGTAATATAACTTAGTTTAACTTTAATACCTTTAATTTAGATTTAATTAGTTTAAATAATGCTAATTTAATTATTTGAACTTAATATAATATAATTTTATTTAGTTTTGATTAATTTTATTTTTTTTTTATTACATTTTAATCAAGTTTTTTCATTGTGTTGTTTTATTTTGTAATATTTTGATTTATATATTTCTTAATAAATATAAATTATTTTTTAAATTTTTTTTTATATATTTTCCCTGAACTTTATTTTACGTTGTTTTATCCTACTCTTTTTTAATTAATTCTTATTTCATTTAAATATATTTGGATTTATTTTACATTATTTTTTTATTTGGTTTCACTTTATTTACACAGATCAAGTTTAGAGTGAGACAGCCGTAAGATTATTTTAAGTTTTAATGGATATTTCTATATTTACTTCAATTTTATTCGAAATAATTATGATTTTATTTTATATATTTCATTCAACCTAAATTTATGTTGTTCCATTTCATTGTATTTTACCTTAATTTATTTTTTTTGTTTTATTTAACTTTTCTTAATTTAAGCTTATTTTATAAATGTTATAAATGTTATTTATGTTATTTTATTTTTTGTAATATAACTTAATTTAATTTAAATACTTTTAATTTAAATATAATTAGTTTTAATAAACTTAATTTAATTCCTCGATTGGATTTATTTTACTTTATTTTTTTCTTAATTTTATTGTATTTGGTTGCACTGCACTTTATTTATCACATATAAAGTAGTTTAATTTAATTTTGTACTATTTTATTTTTTAAAATTTTTTATATTATATTTTATTTTATTATTTCTATTTTATTTTTTTATTTTATTTTTTCCATTTTAATTTATTTAATTTTGTTTTATTTTATTTCATTTTAATTTACATTAATTTGCTATTTTAATATATTTAATTTTATTTTATATTAATTCATTTTATTTTATTCTGTTTTATTTTAATTTATTTTTTATTTACTTTTTTTATATTTTTTTAAATTTATTTTATTTCTTGTTTAATATATTTTATTACATTTTATTTTGAGCCTTTTCATTTGTAATTATTTTAATTATTATTTAGTTTAATTTAATTTAAATTTAATAACATTAGTTATGAAGCATTACTTTATTTTGTTTATTTTGTTTGTTTTTAAATAAAAGTAAAATTTCTTTCAGTGCATTTAAAATTCTAACCCTCACCTGTACTCACCACCAACTGAGAGCCAAATAATATTTGCATATTTTTAGATTTCGTCTACCAACTGGAAATACAAACATATTCCAGTTAAGCATTTTTCAAGTTAGACTTGACGACCAAGATGGCGTCAGAGGCCAAGTTCAGTTCAGTTATTCGAGAGAGTTTGCGCACGTCAGTTGGTCGGCGCTCGGCGCGACGTGAGTTTCAATAATAAAATATTAAAAAGCACAAATAATATTCATGTTAAACACTTAATAAAAAGGAGTAAAAGTAGAGCGGCAAAATTTCTGTGAATAAAATACAATAATAATCGTGATAAGCAAATGAGAAATGTTGATAATAATACAACAACATATTTAAAAGCGAAAAATTGTGGCTTTTTTTAATAAAGTTTTGTGTGGTGGTTTTTGCAGAAAATAATTACATATATACTACAGCTAACTAGAAGTGGGAGAGCGAGCACGCCAGGCATTGCAATCCAAACCCAATTCGAACCAGCCAAATCCAATCCAACTAGAATTGTGAAACTAGAAAAGCGCTAAGCGGGCAAAAATTCCAGTACCAAGTGGAAGTGCGGAGTTTAAAGCCGAATTTTTGTCTAGCTTTGCCAATTTTCAAAGAGATACATACATAGTGGTTGATACAAATGTACACGTATGCAAGTCAATAGCACTGTTCTAAACATATATAAATATATATGTATACATACACATGTATGCAGATAGTGTAAGTGAAAATAGTTTGTGTTGTATGTGTGTGTGCGTATTTCGCTGTTGTAAAGAGTAATAGTGGTAACAGTGCACTATTATTTTTTTGTTGCTATTATTTTATTTTTTTAAATACATAACTTGAACCAGGAGCAATAATCTACGTACATACATACACACTTACATGGGAAAAAGTAAATATTGAACAATTCTTCGTGGTATTGTGGCAATAAACTCAACAGCGGTGCATACACAAACAAATAAAAATTAAAAACGAAAATTTCGGTGAGTGAAACAGCTTTGTAAATATAAATATTTACAGCTATAAACGGCTTGAAGGAATTGGAATGTAAAATAAAATAAAAATATTTTCGTAATTCACTAACCTTAGACGTATTTAATCTTAAGAGTAATTAACTGAATGAGAATATTCAGTTTTTTTTTCCCAAATGCTTATATCAAGTATTTTGCAGATTTATGTGAAATTATATACAAATATATAAACTTATATATAAACGTATATATGTGTCTTCCATTAATAAAGAATCGTTCATTGACCTCGGCGGTCACTTGTTGTCCATCCCTTCAGACACTGCAGTACTGCAAAAGCGAGATAGCAAGTTTTTAGGAGTTGCGGGGAGAATGGCAAAAAGGTACCAGAATTCGTTCATTATAAAGCCTACTGTAAGGGAACGTCAAAATCTTTGAGTCACTAGTTAGCAAAACTTACTCGGTACTGACTTTAAGTTTGTTTTTTTAACCCTGTTTTCAATCAACTTCAGTTCTCCCGTGAAGTTTCCTCTCAACAGTGTAAGGGTCACCGAAGACACATCTCCTTAAACGTATTGACAAATTGATTTGTAGTTGGAGTTATGAGACATGGACTCCCGGAAACGATATGTCAACCTGTCAACAAACTTCCGAATGCCATCTTCCATCCTTGTGACGAAATCGAAAATCATGTTAAAGTCGAACAAAGGCCGGTGGTTGTATTCCGCATTCTTGTACAAAGAAGGTTGGGCGATCAAGAAAAAATATTTAGATAAACAACGTAATGTAACAACAATTCGTCCAAAATCGTCGTACAATATAAAATATTTGGAAATATACGATAATTATCTCATCATGCTGAACAAATTCCTGGTCGAAAATTCAGCAAAAACCAATAAAAAATCGTCATCACATTTCGAAGCAATCTCTTGCATTGCTGGTATGAAAATGTTCAGGGATCTGGTTACTTGAAAGCTGTATGTAGAGGTGCATCCTCTCAAGTCTGCAGAAGTAAACAGCTCTCCAGGACGCATTTAAGGGTAGGGCAGTTAGTTGATGGTGATTGCTTCATCATCCACGTCGACGCGAGACAACATTTTTTATATTTTCCGAATATATTTCAGTGAGAGCAGCAGCGGGTTTAGGTTTGGAAATAAATTGCAGCAGGGTAAGTGAAGTATCATATCTCCTTGAATTAGGTGTTACTAAATACAAGGCATAATCAGAATACTAGTGTACTGAATTTTTGTAAGTTTTATTCTATTTTTTATGTAAACAAGAAATCACGCGATACTTTAGTTCAAAATATAAGCTATTTTTCGACATAGTCGTCATTTACCTTTATGCAGGTGGTGAAGCGGGCTGCTAATTTTTTGATACCTTTCTAGAAGTAGTTTCCCGCCAACCCTTCCATATACTTTTTTACCATCTTCTTTACCTTCTCGTCAGTTAAAGCCAAATTTCACCCAAGGGAGCAGCTTCAGAGTGGTAAAAATATGAAGGCGCAAGATCAGAAGAATGCGAGGAATGGTTCAAGACATCCCATTTACTTAAAACGAGCAGCTCACTCGCTCACTCACGCCGTGATTGGTCTGGCGTTGCCGTTCAGTAGGCTGACTGCTCGGTATGAGCAGACGTACAGTCCTACGATTTAAAGTTTTATCCCCATATGTAGTTTTCATCTCAATATATATCTCAAATGAAGGTTTACCTTTTCAAACGAGATAACGAATGACGCTACGTATCTCTTATTTATTATATTTTCTGGATATGCATTATATTTCCCAACCGCTCTGGTATGAGCTTCATATGATTTACATACAACCACAGTATACTAACAATGGAGATGGTTTCAAATAACCAATACAATTTTTTAATTTTCCAGCTTTCGGTAATGTGTTAAATATAAGCAATTTGATTAAATCGAATTATATAATTGGCGCTCCGAACGGCTGATGGTTTTTTATGAGGAGCTTTTGATTTTCATGTCAAAAATACACTCGGAGGGCTTGGTATTCCCTGCCGAGGACTGGCCGCAATTAGAAAATTTAATTTACTGTTTTAATTTCTATAACTTTTTGGATGTTAGCATGACATCAGATTTTGAGCCCAAGCCCTCCTAACGGCAGTACGCAATGTTAACCAATAGGCTACCGCGCCCGCACTCGGCTACCGCAATAATAAGGGTAGCTATGATCATTTAGCAAAAGAATATTTAATAGTTTCAAAGAACTTGAGTTAGAATTTCTTTCGATCAAACTGTGAATTTTTAGGTTTTTCTATATAACGGGTCTCCATATGAATGACTATATATAGAGAGCACACATGTTGATTTCGTATAGCTGACGGGATTGTAAGAGAAACTATATTTTATGTAAGCGTGCTTATCACCATGCACTATCACGCAAAGATTCATGGGTTTTACTCCTGACCAGAACAAAATTAAAAATTTTTAGAAAATAAATTTTGAAATTACAAATTAATCAATTGCGGTCGGCCAATGGTGGGAAATGTGCAACATGAAAATCAATCCGTCATGCAGATGCGGCTTATAATTGGCCGCAGGTCTCTCCATTCCTTGAAAACACAGCAAGATATATCTCGTATAAGAAGGTTTGTCTTGCTGCGGTACTTTTATTTCTCAAATTTTGGATGCTGGTCAGGGCAGGGCTGACATCTATGACTGCTACTACTACCCTAGACTATTTAGATTAATTTCAAAACTAATTTCATGTATGTACGCCATGAATCACTCGGTCATAGCAATGTCAATTGAACTAATATTTTTTGTATGGATTCTGGTTAGTTTTGGATTACTGTTCGTTTGGAGTAAGTTGTAAGTCGCGCGGGTATGAAGTAATCACGTTATTTGCAGGGTAAGGGATCTAGTGTCATATTTAAAACCAAACTCAATCGCCATAGAAACAGCATCAACGGTACAAAGACAAATGCTCTAACCATTTATAAATATTTACGAGTATTTACATAATTTAATTGTATACTACATTCTACTTCTTGCTACCGGCAAAAATAAAGACACACACACACATATCATAAATAAATAAAAAAGATGACTTCAACAACAAAACCAAAATAAAAAAAAGAAACAAAGAAACAACCGGCAAAAGAGTGAGGCAGCGTTCAGCGTTAATTTCTTATTTCCTCACTTTAATTCTTGCCCCATGCGTTTATTACACACGTAATGCGCCCTAACAGTTAATTTTGTTACGCATTAGGAGGTGCACACACACACACACACAAACCCACACTGACATAAGTGTAAGACAAACATTAAAGTAGTACAAGCAACAAACCTGCCAGCAAACAAGCGCAGAGGAACAAATACACCAAAACAAACTTAAAAGTATCTACGTAAGTACACAAGTGCTCCGCGTTCTCGTAAAGGGAGAAAGAGCATTTTGTGTAGCTTAAAAATACCTGTGGAGTAAAGTTATGAAAAAGAGCTGTAGGAATTTTGTATGTCTTTTTCCAGCAACTTCAGAACAGCGGCTCGTTCGTACAGAACGAACATAGAATTTTAGTTGAGCAAAAGGTACAGCACATCGACTTGCCTTAGGTAGCAGCGTTGTAACAGGTCAAAGATCTGGCTAAGCATTTAGCAAACAATAATACAATAACAGCAACATCTAGCAACAACAACAACAACGTCAAACAAACGAATATAGCACAATATTAGCGAAGACAGTGGTGAAGCAAAAGTTTTCATATAAAATACTAGTTGTAGGCACATACACACATGCATATACATTTAAAATGAAACTGCGGCAAATAATCTAATATTTTTGATAAGGGGGTGAGGCTGGAAGTATCCCGTTTACTTTGTGGATTTCAAAAAGATTAATATAAAGGTTTTAGAGGAATTACTTTGGAAGTAGTTTAAGATAAATTTATTTGAGAGGGAATTTAAATATATTTCTAATGAATATACATATGTACATAAAAAGTGTCTCACTATGGAATGTTGGCAGAAAAAAGTAGAAAAATAAAATTTTCAAATAATATTACCAAAATAAATTCCCATAAAAGTAAAAATAATAAAAAATTAACAAAAAAAAAACAAAAAAGTTTTTCATTTTTAATACAATTAAATATTGTTAAAAAAAATTTATAATTATACTCGTAAGTGTCTAAATGTAAAAAAGATCACATTAAAAAATGTTAAATATTACTATTGCAAAGATTTTTATTATAAATTAAAGCTGCTTTTATGGCTAACCAAGCTCTACCCACTACAAAGCAAAGCGCTCTTAGCATAAACTGTGAATCCAACTGGTTGCTACCCGAAAACTACGAGAACCAACAGCATACCGTAGTGTGCTGAGCTCAGAATCAACCACGAAAACATTTGCCTATTAAACACAGCAATCTCATATTTTTTCACCAACTAAATAATTTAAAAAATAATAATATAATATAAAGCATTGAAGTAATCACTTAGACATAACATAAAGGGTAATAAGTCATAAAGGTCAAATAAGTGGTGTTATTTCAAACAGCCTGATATACCGGTGTAAGTCACTTTTGGAGCTGTCATTTTTTGACATTTGTCAAGTAAAAGCAACGCCAGTTATAAGAATGCCACGGAAGATGCTTCAACAACGCATTGAAATTATTTATTAAAATTCCCGAAAAAAATCTAATTGAAAAATTATCTTGACTAATGAGATTCCTTTCCACCTCGATGGCTACATCAATCAATTCGGAAAATCCAATAATTAATGTGTTTGGCGCGGTTTATGGTCCGACGGGGCCCTTGGACCACTTTTTTTTCCAAAATAAATGGATTGCGCTAGCTAGAGCTGATTAATAATTTTGTGTTGCCGGAATTGGCTGACATTGATCTGCACAACAAGACGGCGCTACGTGCCACACAAACAAGAAAACCATAGATCTTTTAAAGGAAAAGTTTCTCTGAATATCAAAATAACTTACTTATTGGAAAACAATATACATACATACATAATAGAAAACAGATAGTCCATGTTGAGGTTGAT